AACTTAGGCTAATGCATTTAGAAAGGCATTTTATTACGTTATGTGGAGTATTGCAAACATAATTCGTGGGATATTTATATCAATGGTTTCCCCATTGCAGGAACTGTTTGGCTTTTGGCCCAGACTTATCTAGCCATGAAAATATGAAAAAAGACAGGCATTTTTGCCTGTCCCAAGTTTTTAAAGTGATGTTCTGAAAGGTTGCAAGGATCCTCTTATCATATTGAAACGTCATTCAATTGATAAAATTTAAAGATTTTGATTCGCTAAAAGGATAGCGCCGTTCTGGTGCTGGGACGTTCTTGCGACTATCTTAATGTGTACTTCATCTACGAATTATTGCCCATTAACTTCAGAAAATAATCTTTTATCTGGCCTTATCTGGTTCATCTTGACTTCTTATGACTCTTTGTGAGAGACCGACTTCTACATCTTAAACTTGATAAGAAACATATGTTTTAAGTTTATCAATTAATATAGAATGACTCGCATGAGAAATTCTATATTACATCCCCCCTCTCCAAAAAGTTTCGTTTTATATTAAATTTAGAACTTAGGAGATATATATATACAGTTGACTCGCGTTATAACGACCCCATCGGGACTGCCCCAATCTGGTCGTCATATCGAATGGTCGCTATATCAAATGAGCAAATTTCCTTTGAAAATCGGTCACATAATGGCTTTAAACGTCATAATGCATGCATATACTATTTGTGGTATACATGTTATAAACCAAAAAAGGATAGGATGCATACATTAATAAAACATAATGACATTTTAACAATTGAATTACAACTGTTAACAATTAAGAATTTTATTTTAAAGTACAGATTAAAAAACATAGTATGACAAAAAAAAATCTAGTTTCTAATGAATTAATTTTTTGATGTACATAATTTGCGGTATATATAACGAATTTTTTTTTTTTTACATAATCTGCAGTATTATAAAGAAGAGTAAACCGAGGAACATAAACGAGGCTTCATTAGACGAAGACATTAATTTTTTGATGTGCATTAATTTGTTGAAGTTACATGTTAAGAGGACTTAACATATGTGTGCTTGTTCAAGGTCAACCATTCAACCCCACTTTCCAATAGGAAGTTAGAAAAGAGCGGTGTTCAAATTCAGAGAGGGTCGTTATATTAGGAGTTGACCTTTTTTACGGTCGTTATAGCAAGAGTAAAATAACGTTATCTTCTATGGATGTGAATTGGGACTCCTTCACAGGGTCGTTATATCATGTTGGTCGTTCTATCACAGGGTCGTTATAACACGAGTCGACTGTATATATATATATATATATATATATATGCGCCACTCTAGGTTCTTTTGTATATTAGCATTGTATTGCGAATCATGCCAAATTAACTTTTGATAGGTTGAATAACTTTTCAGCTAAATTAAAAAATTAAATTTACGTTATTTGTTCTTCAAATGACCACGTTTTCTCCTGCTTATAAGGATTGTGACGCGTGCCGTGTATAAAAAGGTTTTATAGTAAATTTATTTTTTATCCGTTAATAATTTTAAGTTTATAACCGTTAATAACCACTAAGTTTTTCCGCCTTGTTTGAAAATGTATTTTAAAACAATACCAACTTTTTTTTATACTGTTTCAACTTGTTGTTATTTGCAAGCATTACGCATATCTTTTGAATGTATAAATAAAAATTAATTTCTGAACAAGATTTTAAAACTACTGTCGTTCAAATGCGTATATTATAAATTTTTACACTCATTCTAGTAATTTAGAATGTTACTTTGTTCGGATATGATGCGTGGCTGAAAAAATAAAAATAAAATCGGCTGTACGTAGTAATTAAAGCATAAACTTATTTTTGAATTTACCGAATTACATTATTTACTTTAATTATTAACGCTCGTATTTAAATTAGTTGTTTGATCTAAGCCTTAAGATAATTTTTAAAATAAAAAGCATCAATGTAAAAATTAAATAAAAAATACTCCTGAAATGCCAATAAAAAATATATTACTGCAAAGGAATTTTCGCAACGAGCGTGTGTGTCAATTTCGGTCAAAAAACACAAACTAATTACAGTGAAGTGCTTCAATTAAATCATATGGTGGTGTCACATAGCAAAAACTAAATCTCTAGAGCAGAAAACCTAATTATTTCACAGAAATATGAATTAAGAAAAATTCAAGCATGACAGAATTTTTTAATTTCTTAGTTATGATTTCATATTTGAAGCTGCTTATTTGAGCAAATTAGCGATGCATTAAAAGTGTGAAATCTTGGAATTTTTTTTGTGCATTTCATTTATTCGATTTTCTCTTAATTTATCATTTGCAATTGAAATGCATTCTACACTTGTATTTATTAAATAAGAACTGTTGTGAAAAATCTGCATAATAAACACGACGAAAAAAATTAACACTCAAACATCTCGAAACTTTCTTCGTCTTTGACGAAATTATTTCCTAGTGTATGCTTCGAGAGAGTTTTAAATCAAAGTGACGAAATAACTATCGTCTCTTGTAGGAAATGAATTACGTCAAAATTAAATTAAAGAAAAAAGTTTTAAAAAAGTTTAAAAAAAATTATAATTGTAGTGCCTAAAGTATTTAATTTTTCTAATTATCGTTTTATCGTGGCCACCACATAGGTTGATCAATGTCATCTTAAAGGACGGATAGAACACAGAGATAAATTAAGCCCATGCCCTAAGCGGGATTCAATCCCAGGGTCTTCCTCATGCCAGGTCGATTCCTTAACTATCATACAGAGCAATCAACTTATTCCGTCACTTTATTTTCGATCGTCTAATTTTCATTCGAGTTTTATCATTCAAGTAAACGATCTCCCACCTTGCACAATGATGTTGTTTCGAGTTGAAGAAACATTTTTGTCAGATGCATGAAAGTTCACGGTTCGTCACAGATCACGTGATTTCGTGACGAAATCATTCTCAAAATCAACTAAATGTAGCTCAAGAGTTGCTGAATCGTCAAAAGTGAGAGTTTTATTTCTGAGAGTGTATGATAATTTAATTAAACTAATGTAAAAACAGTTATGATTAATGTAAACAACTCATATTCTTTTTATTTGCAGTAATTAATAATTTCAATAAAACATTATAAAATAATATTACGTTACGGTAGAATACAGCTATAATTTTTTTACTAGTATTGCATGTATGAAACATTTCTTCTAATCTGGTATCAAGTAATTTACTACTTTCTAGACACTAATTAAATGTTTGTTTGATTTATTACTATATATCCTGCACAGTTCTTTTTCAGCGTATGTGATAGAAAGAACTACCCTCAAATCTTAACTGGTTCATGTTGAAAGTTTTATTAAAGCAATACAGACAAAAGAAGCTAGAAAGAAATGAAAACGATTCCAATTCTGCTCAAATGGCAACAGATGGAACATTACTGCTCCCCTGAAACAACAGCTGATACTAGATGAGACGACCACATCTTAATAAAAAAGATAAATTTTCTTCATTCCATACTTCTTTGTTCTCTAACTTAGAAGGTTTCGATTTATTTTATTTTTTTACTTTGAGAGAGCAACCTTTTGAAATATAGATATTTATGTAAGCATTTTTTTAATTTAATTTCCGTTCTTGAAGTAAAAAATAAATGCTTTAATTCTTTTCATTAATTTAAAAACTGTTTTATACTTAAAAAGTTTGCGATTCGTGTTAAAAAAAAAGTTTCATAAAGTTCAAAGTTTTCTTTATGATGGTTTTTATAAAGAATTAGTTTTGAAGAAGTTTAGTTTTTAAGAAGAACTTGTTTTTAACTTAATTGGAATTTCGGTAAAATATTTAAAGTAGAATATTTTATAACAATAATTTTTAATAATATTTAATAGTAAAAAAATATTTTTATAATTATAGTTTTATAAGAAAAACGCATGTATTAAAAGCCACAACACGATCGTAACTTGCACTTTTATAAATGCAAAAATGTCAACTTATACGTATTTTGTGTAAAATTTTATTTTCGTGTTTAAATTTATAGTAAAACTTATGTTATTTTTTATTTCTTGGATTTCTAAACTAAATTTAAAATGATTTCGTCCATTGAAATATAATTTGGTGTATAGTAGCCATAATTTTTTGTGTTCAGGTAAATTAAAATTACTTACAGTGCTTGGTCACATATTTAATCTACTTTTCCACGGTCATAGTTTTATCTACTTATTTATTCAGATTTTGTTTACTGAGAACACATATTACCATGCGCATTAAAATCAATTTTATTTCTTTATCACAAGAACATTTCATTCAAAAAACCAACATATTTATAGTAATATATTCGGGTTAATTTTTTCAAACAATTGTTATTTTGTCAATTTCATGTATTGCTTTGCACGATAACTACAGTTCTCTACTTAAAAATGCATTTAGTTTATTTCGATTTCAAAAATTATGGCAACTATACAGCAAAATTTTTTTGAAGTCTATAAATAAGAGGAAAAATGTATGACAATGTATGATACAATGTTACTTTTGAACTCTGAGCAAAATAAAACATAGTTCAGCGTATAATTGTAATAAAACTTTTATTTTACTACCTCTAGGGAAACTCTTCCTCTGCAAAATTAAAAGCTGACAAGTATGTAAATGAGGTTTAAATATTTAAATTACTAGTGTTGCTCAATATATTTACTATCGTCTAAATGAGACAAATTATGCATTTCTTCTTGAGTTTCTCTCAATAATTAAAAATGGACCATGTTTCATGATTGGGCGGAAAAAATTGTTGTTAGAGACCGAAATACAGCTCTATTAAGTATCACGCAAAATATTGTTCATAGATATATATTTAATTAATTATGAAAACAAGTTTCACGGCCCTCTTAACTATTATGCATGGAAATAAATGATGTTATTGCGTGCAGGTAAAAGTAAATTAACTAATAATAATTAATTCAAAGTTACTCCTTTGCATAATATTAAAAAAAAACACATGACTGCTTATACTGTTTCATATTACTTCGACGGTAAAATGGGATC